TATTTATATTTTTATTATAAAGAAAAATATTTAATGCACGTTGGTATTATTTATTTTATGTAATCAATTTAAAATATGTAAATAAATTTAATAATAAATAGTGTATAAATATTTTACAAAATATACACATGTTTTTTGTATTTAATTTTGTATGCTAATTAAACAACTTTGAGTCAGAAAATACCAAAAACTCGATCCCCTCTATGGTCAAGATTTTTATAATTTGCATTATAAGGATTTATGGTTTATTTAGCATACTCATCAATGAAATTATATTTTACAAGTATTTAATTATAGAAATAAATAAAAAAAATAAAAAAAATATAATCATGGATGCCAATAATATACAAATAAATTTTAAACAATAGTTAATATGTTTCAATTTTTAATTTTTTACCGTTAGTAAAACTATTTATTATATCTGGTTATTATCTCTTAAATGGTAAATTATACTATTAATTTGAAGAACAATTTATTTTTTATATTTAACAAAATAAAGCTTAAGAAACAAATATATTGGCAAAGATTAATTCACCATCTTAATTTTGTGTGATTACTTGGTAAAAAAATTCTACCTAACCTGTTACGATTTTCAATAAATATTATTGGATAAAAAGTGAATATTTGTGAAAAAAAAAAAACTAATATTATGGTTGGAACTTAAAATATGGTGTAATATTATCTTGACCAAAATATTATCAACATGGATCACAGAAATCAATCATGTAATTTATTATAATGAATATCAATGAAAGTATTACAAATATTAATAAAATAATATTTATCTTGACCAAAATATTATCAACATGAATCACGAAAATCAATATTGTAATTTATTATAATAAATATCAATGAAAATACTGCAGATATTAATAAATTTATTGAAGTAATTATTTGATCATATGTTATTTGATCTTATTTGAAAACATGTAAATAGAAGCAATTAATACATACATTTAAAAAATTTCTAAAAATAATATGCATTAAATGTTTCCTAAATTTTTGCTACTATTTTTAGTAAATGGTAATTCTTTTTATATATATATAGATATGAGATGTGCCATGATAGGGATATTAGTACCGACTCGACTCAAACGGATAAGGACCATAAAATCAGAGTCGAAGGGATCATGGAATTGAGCAGGGGCCTAAGAGGGCCGGATAATCGACCAGCTCATAGGGTCGAACATGGCCCGATCGGCTCGGAAGGTCGAACGCGTTGACTTAGGAGTCGAATTAGACTCTTGGTCCGGAGGGTCGAACACATAGACCCTTAGCCCAGAGAGTCGAACACATAGACCCATGGCCTAGAAGGTCGAACACATAGACCCATGGTCCGGAAGGTCGAACACATAAACCCTTGGCCTTGAAGGTCGAACACATAGACCCTTGGCCTTGAAGGTCGAACACATAGACCCTTGGCCCGGAGAGTCGAATACGTAGACTCATGGCCCGAAGGGTCGAACACATAGACCCTTGTCTGGAGGGTCGAACACATAGACCCTTAGCCCGAAGAGTAAAATACATAGACCCATGGTCCTGAAGGTCGAATAGACTTTTATCTCGGAGGGTCGAATACATAGACCTTTGCCTGGAGGGTCAAACACATCTACCCTTGGTCGATATTAAGGACCGTTAAGGGTCAGGTCGAGTGTCGATATGCACGGCCAGAAATAAATTGAATTGAGCTCGATCGATGGACGCTCGATGGCGTTTGACCCCGAAAGGAAGACCGTACTATTAAACACTATATAAAAGGTGAATCAAGCGATATGAAGGTAAGATTCATTTGTACTGTTATAACTGCAACATTAATTGTAAGTTATTCCTCAATTCCGATATATTGACTTGAGAGTCGAAGGGTCTTGCGCCGGAGTAATTCCGACATTTTTAAGGTACCAGCGAGCTTATGGACTTGGACCAGCCGAACCAGTAGGATTTACGTTTGCAAATATAAATCAAATAATATTATTGTTTCAAGAAGTTTTATATGTGGCAAAATTGTAATTTTAGTCTTGTTGGTTTGATCCATGGCGTTTTTAGTCCTAAGAATTGAACTTTTGCTATTTGATTTTATGATTTTAAATTTCAACACAATTTCAGTATTTAGTACTAAAATGCTACAAGAATTGAACATTTTTACATGTATTTATTATATAAATATATTATTTATATTATTTGTACGATAATTCTTTAAAAAATATCAATTTATGAAGTATATATGATTAGCCTTATTCATTTGAAATTAAAACTTTTTACTTTGAGAATTATTTTATTATTAATATCATATTAAAATTATTTAAAAAATGTATATTCATTATATTCATATAATAATAGTTATTAATATATAAAAAACCTCTACATTTATATTGTTAAAAACCTCTACATTTATATTGTTCTTTTCTATTGTAAGTATAAAATTCAGACAAAAATAGTTAATAAAATAATCTAATAATAAATTTGTTACATATTATTAAATAATTTTTATTTTAATTAATATTATATAAATATTTGGTAGTCTGTGCATGTGCACAAGGTTAATACTAGTAATTAACTAATTGAGGATGTAATTTTATCATGTTTTATCAAGTTTGGGTAAACACCATACAATCTGTAATAATTAACTAACTCAGGATATAGTTTTACCATGTTTTATTATTAATAAAGCACCTAAAATATTCTATGTTATTCTTGAGAAATACATCTTAATTGAAAGAAATGAACATAATAACTTAAAATTTTTTATGATATTTGTTGACATTCGAGTTGAAACTAAAATATAAACCATGTTTAAGGGTCCACTAATCTACAGAAAACGAGATCCCAGGTCGGACCCCTGTCCGACACTCGGCTCTCAGAAATCACAAGCTGGTATCCCGACCACGACGCGCTAAAAGAGTCGAAGGAATATAATGCTACGTACCAAAGGCAGAAGCTCAGGCCGGACTCCCCCTCAATATCCAAGTCGGCTCCCCTAGAAATGATGCTGAAATGAATACGTAGATATGTTATCGCTGGTGATCCAACCTTAGAGCATCAAAGAGGTCGTAGTTCACGACACGCGTAAAGAAGAAATATTATTAAAATTTTAATTGTAGCCCAATAATGGCATATGGGACGTGAACGTCGGCCCTGCAGACCTATGACCATTAGGCCTCTTATGGTAGCATGCAGGGGCGGACACAGACTCGTAAGACTTAGGAGGCATAAACGTAACCTTTATAAAGAGAAAAAAAAATATTTTTATTCTCTGCATATTCTTTCATATTATATCACTCATAATTATACAAATTCAAATCTCATCAAATATATTTTTTTCAAATACCAACATTTTTTTTGCATTGAATATTCTTACGACGTCAGCATTCGTGTACTTATTATTTATAATAAAGATACATATTATATTAGTTAAAATATCAATGACAAACACAATTCTGTAACTAATTTTAAACTTATAATTATAATTTTAAGAACACCTAAAATTCAATATGTATCAAAATTGATGTTGATTTTTGTGGAAAATCGACATAACTCATTTATACATGTTTCCTACAACATAATACAAAATGCAAACAACTTAAATTTTAAGTATATCTCTCAATAATTATTTTACAATATAGTTATATATGTACCAATTTTTTCAAAACTTGCACATGGGCCCGTGCCCCCTACGGAGCCCCTTCCTGGGTCCACCCCTGGTAGCATGTCCACATTAATGCTTGTAATTCAACATTAAATTGATGTAACCCAGATGAACTATAAGCGGGCATATCTTACTATAAATAGTCCTAGAAATCCATTATTAAAGGGATGATCAATAAATTCTCTATGTAGCAAGACAAAAATTTTCTCATATAATACGTTATTTATGGCAAAGTCTGATCTAGTGAAAATCTATTTTTACGCAAATAATTTGTTCTAGTCCGAATTTTACAGTTTTTAACCTCTTTTAAATTCCACTAAATTTTATAATTTTAGTTGACCAAATCCTTTGATCAACATGCCATGATCAACATGCCATTTTTGCCTCAAAGAGACGGACAAACAATCTGGGAGCTATTACTCCGACCACCCCTTTTGCTTCAAAGAGAGGACAAACAATATGGGAGCTATTACTCCAACCACCCCTTTAGTCATAACATGAGGATAAGGCTTATGAGTTTGGCTCAGGTGATGGGTGAAATCTGGCTGAAGCCGACCCCAACCTCGCGGACGATCTCTATGAGGATGCTGGGTAGAGGGAAGCTCAAGCCCATGATCAACCTCTTCTTAAAAACCCCTAACTATCTCGGCGGACTATGAGTCCTTCCGGATAGGATGCGAAACTCCGTACCGAAAATTCTCACTCAGTTTGAGGACCTCAACCTCCATCATTATCAAGGTTGTCGTCAGGGACGGAGCCACCCAAGGGCTAGGGTGGACTCCAGCCCAAGATAAAAAAAAGAAGTTCATGTACATTTTATGTTATTTTGGTTATTAGCCCTATATGGTTTTTAAGTTAGCCTTGAATCAGCACAAGACAACAACAAAGCCCACAAAATAAATAAAACAAAATTGATGGGCTTGATTACACAATCACTTCTCTTCTCACACACTCAACATACGCTTCTCAGTTCTCACTATCTGTTTGTTTCTGGTGTCCCTTTTATTAAAAAAAAAAAGGGAAAAAATAATTACGAAATTATTGCACATACTAAGCGCTACTACTATATTCTGCTTTTAACGCGCGCGTACACTCTCTCTCGTGCCCGACTCGACGACAATCGCTTCTCGACAACAGAAGCACTGCTTAGTGCTTATGCTCCGCACATTTTGTTGTTCGCTTGTGTGTGTTTTATCCTCTGCTTGCTCCCTGCAATTATTTCTTTCATTTGTTATTTTGTTTAAGTTTTGATTTCACCTTTTTTTGCAGCCAAGAAAGATCGTCTCTTTTGGAATTTTCTCCTTGTACGATTCCCAGATATCTCTCCGTCCTCTTCTCTTTGGCATTTCCCACGAGAATGGGGCTGTGCTATTTGGTGGGGTTTGGTTTTGTAGTATTGTTGTGGGCAAAATCCGGCAACGGCGAGCCCGAAACTTGCTCGGGCATTGTGCGGATGAAGTACAGATCCGATAAGATATCGATAGCCGATTTTGGAGGCGTTGGGGACGGCGTGACTCTCAACACCAAGGCATTCAGGGCGGCGATTTACAGGATCGAGCATTTGAGGCGGCGAGGTGGGACCCTCCTCTACATTCCTCCCGGAGACTACTTGACTGGTCCCTTCAATCTCACCAGCCGGATGACTCTTTACTTGGCTAGAGGCGCCACCATCAAGGCCACCATGGTATTTACTTCTCTTATTATTATTATTATTATTATTGGAATATCACTTTTGAGTTGCTGTCCGACATTGATTCAATATGAGACTGAGACTACTATTCATAACCGAAACCTAGTGGGACGACGTCCTTCTTCCCTCGGTTCTAATAATTATTATTACTTTTGATAAAGTATGAATCTTTATGTGGTTAGAACTAAGTGAACTTTTTTTTTTTTAATTAATAACAAATTTGGCTTCCTTGTTTATTGTGCTCAAGCATGGTCTAAGTTTGATAGGTGTAAGTTGGTCAAACATATGTAAAGTTGCAATTGCAAGGTGAAACATTTAAGTTACATTTGTGGGCCGAGGGGTGGCCTAGTTGGTGGGCTCAATTGCATGTGCAGCTCATTTAAATAAATGTGACAGTGGGTGTTAATTGGTTGTCTGCCAGCTATTTACTATGGACACCACCACCATCATATTCATATTCACATTCACATTCAAACCTTTGCCTGCAGAGTGACAGAAAATGGACACAAAGTCATGAGACTGTGATTTATTGTATTTGCTAAATGAAAATGGAAACTAATGAAATGATAATTGGGAATGGCTGAAGTCCCGTTGACGGAATGGTGCTGCCACTGTTTGTTATCGTAGATTATCCACATAATATAACCTACTTTTCTTATCCAATGGTGAAAAACGCTGACGGTACCGGGACTCGTAATGGGACCTTAGCATTTTCCATGATAATTAGCAATAATTGGCTAAACTGCCCTTAGGGAGCAATAGTTTTGTTTGAATAACACGAGCATGCACGTGTGGTTTAGGACTTACAAATAGTTTTGGCTCTCATGATCAATGCTTTAGGAGACTACGCACTGGCCCTTAATAGCACCATTGCCATCTTATGGAAGAGGAAGAGAACGGCCGGGCGGAAGGTACATGAGCTTTATCCATGGGGATGGGCTACATGATGTGATAATCACAGGTCAGTATGGGTTGCTTATCTCCTGAGATTAACATATGATTAAACTACATTCCTTGATGACAACAAAGTTCATAAGGCAGACTTATGCAGTTATTTTGCCTTGTAATGGTGAACAAAAATAAAGATTGAAGGGCACATAATTCATTGTCTCTCTTTTATTTTAGATTAACTGCTGGTCACTTGTTTCACGCCTTTCCTCCTTTTTTAATTGCTTTTTATAGGGGAAAATGGGACGATCGACGGGCAAGGGGGCGTCTGGTGGGACATGTGGAGGCAGAGAACTCTCAAGTTTACTAGGCCAAACCTTATTGAGTTGATGAACTCTAGGAATATAGTAATTTCAAATGTAATATTCAAGAACTCACCCTTTTGGAATATACACCCCGTGTACACAAGGTAACTGCTTTACAAAGTTCCTGCAAATTTCTCTTCATTTTAGCAGCTACAGTTGATGAATGTATGATCTTTTTGATTAACTGTCTTGCCAGCAATGTTGTGATTCGATATGTCACCATACTGGCCCCTGCTGACTCTCCCAACACTGATGGAATTGATCCAGGTATGAAAATCTGATGTTGGTAATTATATGAATTTAGGCACAGTTTTGTCATGTTTTATTAATAATTTATCTGGCATTGTAATCTGCCAGACTCGAGCTCCCACGTGTGCATAGAGGACTCGTTCATCTCGACTGGGGACGACCTCGTGGCCGTGAAGAGCGGGTGGGACGAGTATGGCATTGCCTACGGCCGCCCGTCCCACGGCATCACCATCCGCCGCCTCAGCGGCTCCTCCCCGTTCGCCGGAATTGCAGTCGGCAGCGAGACCTCCGGCGGGGTGAACGACGTCCTAGCCGACCACATCACCCTCTTCGCCACCGGAATCGGCATCCACCTCAAGACCAACGCGGGTCGCGGTGGAATCATCCGCAACATAACCGTGTCCAACGTGTACTTGGAGAACGTGCGCACGGGAATCAAGATCTCCGCAGACGTCGGGGACCACCCGGACGGGGGTTACAACCCCAATGCCCTCCCCGTTCTAAAGGATGTGGTGATTAGGGACGTGTGGGGCCAAGGGGTGGGACAGGCAGGGTTGATCCGTGGTCTCAAAAGTGCACCCTTCACCGGGATTTGCCTGGCCAATGTTCATCTCGGAGGGAAGCGTGGGCCCGCAGATTGGCAGTGCTCGGACGTGAGTGGGGCTGCATTGCGGGTCAGCCCGTGGCCGTGCGCGCAACTTAATGGTCCCCGTTTGGGGCACGGAGCGTGCTCCTCTTCTTTCTGATGTTGACACGGGGTAATTGGTTGATCACTTCACTAGTAAATGTGTTTTCCATGTGTTGAGAAACTGAAACTGTGCTCTGGGATTCAGTGGTTTTAATTTAATCTCTGATCGAAAAATATTGCCAAAATCTTCATAATCAAACTGAAGGTAACGTTTTTACATACCACAGAGAGTGGCACGACTATGAACTCATTCACCATAACTTCCAAGTGCAGAAAGCTCCTACTTTTTAAAACAACATAGAAACAGAGGACCCAAATCTTATTCATGCAGCATGATTATTTTAGCAGAAAGTACAAGATTTTTCTTATTTACTGCTACTTTTGAGCCATATTGTTACGACATCCAAAGTCACAAACAGGGGTGTTCTAGAAATATTGGTCCAAGAACTTGCGCACGAGCCTCATAAATCCGCCATTCATCTTCACATTCACTTCCTCCTCCCCATTCTGATCAAGACTCAAGCGTTTCTTCAGTTTCTTCGAAACCTTGATTTCTCTCTCCCGTTCGGACACAATCTGCTTGATCCGATTTAAATCTTCGCCATTGCGGCTGCCGTGGCCGTGCAGACCCATCCACCGTCCAGAGATACTCTGGCCTCCGCCGTACACCACGGGCACCTCGAAGTCGCTGTTCTCGCCGGAGGTAAAGATAGCTTCGTCTGCGAAGGATATTCGATTATTTTCCTTCGTTTTCCGGTGGAGCTTATGGATGTGGATGCAGGATCGACTTAATCGGACCGGAAACCGGCGGTTGATGGCCCGGTAAGTGAGTTTGTTCAGCGGCACGGTGGGGACGTCGATTGTGCTGAGCTGCTTTCCGTGGTTGACTGGAACCTTGTGGACGGCGGCACGGGAGGAGACCGCGTCTTCAACTGGCGGAGCATGGTCGGCGAGTGAGAGGGCGAATAAGCAGAAGAGGGCGGCGACGGTGGGGCTGGATTTAGCCATGGTGGAGGTTTACGATTTTCTTTCAGTCGAGTTTAGCTCTAGTATGGAGCGATTTTGGGGACATGAATAATTTTGTTATAGGTGAGATACGGACAGTTCGGGCAGGTTGGAATTAAATGTTCGGTAACTATTTTTTAACTAATGCTTGGTGAAAATAGTTTGTTCAAGAATAAATAAGATTAATTTTTCTAGTAAATATAAGCGGTAAAAATTGTTTAAATTTATAGATATCGAATTAAATTATATAATTGAAATTAAAATACTTTTCGTCATCGTCATTAACAAATTGCAATTATATAGTCAATAAAAACATATGGAAAATTGTACCCAAAAAAAAATATATGGAAAAAACTACAGTCCCGTTAGAGGACCATTCTGTCTGGGTTTTTAACCGTAAATTATCTATCATACACTAATCTACGATAAGAAACCACGACAGAATAATTTCGTAATGGAACTGTTAGTTTTTCCCCAAACATATATCCTTTTAATATTACGAATATAAGCAGTCTAGTCATAAATTTTAACAGGTCAAGCTAATCGCCTCCGAATTAACTCAAATGCTTCAATTAGACTCTCTAATTATTATTTTATTTTATAAAAAAATATCATACTTTTATTTAGTTTTTTTATTTATTTTAAAGTATGATATTACAGAAGTATACTATATATTTATTAAAAGAATACGACTACATCTACATAAGTTAGAGCATCTCTAATGTATAAATGCATGTATTGTATAAATTCTGACAAATATCACTTAACTAGATCCACGGATGTGAATCACAAAAGATGATTTCCAACTTAAAGCTCAAAAATTATGTCACAATGTAATCAAACATAATATAATCTATTTGTCCAAAATAAAATAAAATGATTACAAATAAGAAAATAATCCATTTAAATAATTAATTATCTTGAAATTCTTAATAATATTTCTCTCTCTTCTCTCCATTGGTTAGTCTAGTCTTTTATGATATTATAAAGTGTTGTGAAGCCTATTATTACACCAAGTCACATCACTATTAACATTGTCAATTTAAATTGCTATATTTATAGATGCCACATAAGAAGCAATGAACCATTGCATTGAATATGTTTTATGTTGTGATTGTAACCTCCATATTCTAGACATTAAAAACGTTCATGTCATTACTATATTTGCAATAACAATGTACAATGAAGAACTAAATGTGATTACTAAATATGATTGACGTGAATATAATTTAGGGAAATGCTACCATCCCGTTACGGTACCATCCCGTCGGGTGTTTTAACCGTTGGATCATCAATCTTATCTAACTACACGTAGATCTAACGGTTAAAACAACCGACGGGATGGTACCGTAACGGGACCGTAGTATCTCTCTATAATTTATTATATCAACATTTGAGCATTGAATTTGTAATACATACAAAATTGAACATTGCTCTTTGAACTTGTAACGTCTATAAAATTACCGAAAATTGATTTGACCCTTTGCTCTTCATATTTCTAGGTTTTCACATTACATTCGGTAAAATTACAATACATGGGGCATATATTTTTGTTAAAAGAGTCATAAAGCTAAAACAATTCCGTTATACATGTATAAGATAATGCTCCCCTACCCGGTGGGTATGTGTTAATATGCCAACCGCTTACGTGGCATGCACACATTTGTGATGTTAATATGTTCAAAAAATACATCACCAATGTGTGCATGACATATAAGCGGTGGACATATTAACATGTGTCCACTGTGGGTAGGGAAGCATTCATGTATAATACTAGAATTAAATGTGTGAATCCTCTAAATATAGACCACTATTTATAGCATGTATTAGAATATATTACAATAGTTAAATAGCAATTCAAAAAGAAATCCCACCAAAGCCTTGTCCAAATTATAATTAGTTGTATATGGACATGTAATTTTTAAGAAAATCTTCAATACATACGTTCGTACTTCGGTGGAATATCTCTTCCTTGCGTGAAGGTATTGCAATTATCAAACACATCGGGAAGAGATAAAATGATGAATCACGTACGTGTGCGTAAGGATATAGGTCCTTTGCTTACCACCACCGCGTGATTCATTTGTTATTTTTCCTCGTTGCATTTAATGGGAGAGACCTAAATGCCAATGAACCCCTTACCTTTCATCACCGCTTAATACATTTGTCATTATTGCGTCATTGAATCTAATGGTTGAGATTCAACTGTAGGATACGGGCTGTTGAACATGATAGATGCATTACAGAAATACCATGCATCATATACAAGTGGCACCTGGAAACCAGAGTAAGGTAAGCTTCATAACTAGTATGAGAATTGATGCAACAAGATCGCACTTGCCTTCTTAGAGAAGCGGGATCGTCGACATCATTAGTCATTATCTATGTATATCTTATTTATTTATTTTCCTATTTTACTTTATTAAGTTTGGTAAGTGAATTTTTATTTTTATATTACCTATTCCTTTCTTAGTGGGTAAGCTAAGCATTTTAGGACTTGAGAACTCTATATATTTATCTCTTCTATGTATTGGCCGACCAATTTGGATGAATAAAAAATACAAACTTTTGAGATTTATCTCTTCTTGTTCTCTTTCGTACACGCTCACTGCGTCAAGAAGGTATTGCTATGTGGTGATACCCTTAAGGCTGAAAAACACTGGTGCGACCTACAAAAGATTAATGTTTAAGATATTTCAGGGGCAGAAAGGTTGCAATATGGAGATCTATGAAGACGACATGCTGCTGAAAAGCAAGAAGGTTGTAGATCATCCAAGTGATATAAGGAAAACATTCGACACTTTGAGAAGTTACGAATGAAGTTCAATATGTTGAAGTTTGATTTTGGGGTTGCCGAAAGGATCTTAGATTACGTCGTGACGAAAAGGGGATAGAGGTGAACCTCGAAGATGTTCGAGTTGTTCTCAACATGGCGCTGTCAAGAAATATTTGAGAGATCCATGTCTTGGCAGGTCGCATAGCTGGACTCCACAAGTTCATTACATAGTTGCGGAGAAGATTTGCCTTCTTTTTTGGAATTTTAAAAAAGATGTCGAAGTTTGAATAGAGTAAGAAGGCACATGTCACTTTCGATAAATTAAAGGTCTTGCTGGAAGAATTACCATTGTTAAAAGTCGGAGCATGGTAACTACCTCATTCTATACATTTCCCTTGGTTCAATGACGCTAAGCATAGTGTTTCTACGAGAAGTAGGTAACTATCAGCAACTGATCTATTATACAAGCAAGGTCTTACAGAGAGTTGAGCTCATATACTTAGATATGGAGAAAGTCGCCGTGACGTTGGTCATCACAATGCGAAAGTTGAGACCCTACTCCTTCAATCATAATATATTCATGAACACAAATTTCCAGCTCGGGGGGACTATAGGTAGACCATCGGTGTTAGTAATTTTGGTGAAATCATCAGTGGACTTAAGCGAGTACATAATAGATAATGAGCCACGGCGTACCATAAAAGGCACTAGCATTGACTGACTTCATTCAAGAATGCACGAGAGAAGAGAGAAAAAATAAATAAAGGGCCTAGGTTGTCGGCTTATGGAGGGTCATGTTTGGTTGTAATTTTAATCACCCCCGAAGGTGAACAACTCGATTTCGCGATCAACTTAGTGTTTAAGGAATCTAATAGTGAGGCCAAGTATGAAGCATTGAAAAAGGAATACAACTCGCCACTAATAGAGGAACAAACGAGCTTACGACCCATTTAGACACATAACTGGTGGTCGAGCAGGTTATGATTCATTGCTGTTAGTGTTATATACTGAAGTTTGACTTTGGATGATATTACACTTTTACCCTTTATGAATGAGAAACATGTTAGATTAAATAAGTTATACGTTATGTTGTTTTGCATTAGATAGTGTGGGTCGTTATCGGGCGAACCGAAGATCATACTATCAGTTACTCGCGAAATAAGAATTAATGGTTCACAACCTAGATGGACATGAACTGTAACACCCCGCTTTTAATTTACGTTGGAAAATCAGAGTGAATTTTTCGCTTTTCAAAACTTACAAAAATCACTCTATTAATCTCGGGATGTTCTTTTTTTTTTTTCTTTTTATAAAATACATGTCAAATAATCAAATTGAGATTTGTTTATTTAAAACTTAAATTCATTATTGTCGAATCTTTATTTTGAAAATATCAAATCTTCATTTGACATCAAATTAAGTTGATGTCATGAAATATTAGATCGTATAGCATTCGACATTATGAAAATAGATAAATAGCGGAAGATTAAGCTTGGTTCACTGTGAGCCATTATATTACAGAACATTTAAATGTCCTTTATTTGTCATTTAACTCGACCATCTCCACCTTGACTCAGCCTGCACGCTCAACTCCATTACCTGAAATGTCATAATATAATGGGAAGTGAGTACATAAACATGGTACTCAGTGGAAAACTCAACATCACATTCATAATAATTACGACATTAAATAAACTGCATATATGCATATAACTGAAATAACTGGCATACAAACATAAACTTCTTTCTGCTTTCGGACACTTGGCCGTAATCAATATAGATTTGTCTTTTGGACCTAACGTTGATAATCCGATAATTCATATTTAACTCAATCGTATATTCCTAAAACATAAGCTCAAAGCCATATACATTCTTGTGAGTGGCTAATGGTTACAAACTTTGTTGCGAGCCCATCTCCTTCCTCGATTGAATTATTATTAAAATATATAAATATATATATTCTCAATTTTATATAAAGCAAATTAATTAGATAGTCAAAATTAAGAAATAAATTATTGAGTGAAAGCGGTTTGACAGGTTTGGTATAGCCATGTTGCTATGGGCGTTGCATTTCATATAATATACATCATGGTTTTTGGCCCAATCAAGTATGGCGAAGAAAATAAAAGAAAGAATATTTTGACCGAAAACCGAACGACTTCAATATTTACAAGTATTTTAATTTCTCAATGGATTGCTGCCACTTCGTGATATTGGTAATTTGGTAGCATATGCATAACGACCAAAATCAAGTTTCATATTGAAGCACATGGTCGGTTTTTTTATTTTTTTTTATTATTATTATTATTATTATTATTTTTGTTTTTTCGATATAAATAGNAAAAAAAAAAAAAAAAAAAAAAAAAAATTGCATGGAATCATTTATCAACACAATCGTTGGATATATTATAAGATAAGACAAAATTGTCCTTAATATCACGATGATATTATTTGAAATTGTGATTTAATCATGATCTTTTTCACTTTTGTAATATATATCACAATATTCAGTTTGTTGCAAATCGCCGGTGTACCGGTTTGTAGAATTACTCATGAAAACTATGCACGACCTTTTAGTGTTCTTCGGCAACATAAGTTTTTTTTAAGATTGGTTTTTAGAACCCTGTGTACCAAAATTTGCAAAACTCGTGTAAATTATATCACAACCTGCAGTTTGTTCTTTGGTCACATCAACTTTTGTAAGGCTGATTTTTAGAACTTCGTGCACCAGTTTGCAACAAAATAAAAATTGTATAAATAGAATGATATGACTTAGGTTTAATTCTACAAATTTCATTGCACTTGACCTTTTCAACGAATAAACAAATTTAGCGAATGAAAATCTAGGATAATTTCACAAAGCCCTAGGAGGAAAGATACTTAATATTATAAATTAAAGGGAGATGCTATGGTGTTGTTACGGAACTATCCGTCTAGGTTTGTAACCGTTAGATCAACTATTCCCGACAGTTCCATGATAATCTAACAGTTATAAACCCCGGCAGAATAGTTCTGTAACAAGACCGTAGCATTTCCAAAATTAAAAACACATACATTTAATATTTTTCTCCCTTTCCAGTTTTATATACGTACATTTAATATTTTGAAGAAAAAAAAAACCAATATAGGAAAAAAGTTAAGGGTGTGATTGTTTATGAATTCAACTAGTTTTTATTTGGTTTGTTTTTTTAACTATAGCTAACTTTGAAAAAAGTGGTATGGTTAGTTGTTAGTGGATGTATTAAAATAATATTTAAATAAAATAATTAAAGTTGATTTGATGTAAAGTAGGAAAAAAATGATTGGAAGTGATGGTTAGTTAAAATTATGTGAGTGGATGAATAGTGAATTAAAGTTGATGTGATGTATAAAAATGATTGGTTAATATTATTTAATTATATTGATAATATGAGAGATAGTGAAGTTGGGTTAAAGTTGAGTTAAATTTGAGTTTTGATTCGTTTTTTTACTGTTGAAACTATAAACAATCGCCCCCTAAGTAATGTGTACAGCTCAGCCAGCTGTTAACATGCATAAATAGTCACCCTACTCTCCATTCCTTATACAGAATCATATGCAAACAACCATTTGATGGCTGGTGAAAATACTAGTAAGCTGCATTTCGTTTTCATGAACTACGATCCCGAATACGAGCGGCTTCGATCCAGCAAGTACGACGTCGTGTTTATATATGTTTTATTTTTATTAATTTATAATTACGGTACTTATGATCAATTATTTCAATTTTGTTATTTAATTTTGTGTGTGTGTGTATATTAATTTATTGTTGTGATGATGAATGCAGAACAAAGAGAGGGCAACATGAGCTGGATTTATACTTGAGCAGGAAACACGACGACGTTTTGGCCAAGAATTTGGAGGCAGGGACTTACATCAAAACACTCTCTATGGTCATTGTTGATGGTTTTGCAGTTCAAATCACAGACGAACAGGTGATTAATTATTATTAATTATTATTACTACTATTATGCTAATTAATTTTTGTTTAATTACGATATTTATTTAATTACATATTTACAGGCAGATGTGCTGAGATCTGCAAAAGAAGTGAGGATTGTGGAGAAAGATCTTCAACTTGGGACGAATTAATTAATGCCGTTGACGGTTGATGAGAGCAAGGAATTAATTTCAAGGACACCCCCCAGATTAATTTCATTTGCAATTTGGTACCTTATTTACGTACCCAAATATAAATAAATTAGTTGATCGTTGTAGTAAAAAGATTATTATTGTGAAGAGGGTAAGAATTAGAGGACTAATATATGAATAATTGATGTTTATTGGTATTTATCTGTGTTTTAAATTTTATCTTCTTTCATTCAGCCTTTTTGTCATCTCACGAGATTATAATTCGAGTTGCAAAAATCATGAGCTAATTAATAATAAAATTAAATAATAGAGATGCATATTTTTTTATCTTAAAATGTCTAATTTTAAAAATAATATAAATAAAAGTATGATATTTTATGTATTAACTATGCATTTTTAATTAAAAAAAAAAATGAGATCGATCTGCCTAATAATTAAATTGTCTCACACAAAAATTTATTAACTACCAAACGCGGACATGACGAGATATATATTTATCAAATTTCCAAATATATATGTGGGGGATTTAAATTTAGTGATGTAATGACTAATGAACTTAATTTGGGTGGGCTAATTGTAAAATCGTAGGCCAAAATATTATCCAGTTTTTGGAGCAACTTATGTGTTATAATTTCTTAGAAAGATTTATGTATAAATAAATATGTTTAAAAGTATAAATATGTTTATAAATGAACGACAATCATATTTAGTATTATGTTCTCCACAATAAATTAATCTCAAAAATTAAAATTAGTCATTTACATCAATATTTCAAATTGAATATTTGCACTGCTTTATTATTTTACATATGGAATCATCATAATGTTTAAAAAAGTCGTGTTTTGTCATTAAAAATATGAAATAGTTATACAAAATAAATTAGTTAGAAATTAAATAATGATAAATCTATTTTTTCACAATAAAAATTGTGATATATATAACTTGGTCAAATGACCCCTTGTAAATGCATGACCAACTAAATAAATATCTAACTGTATAGAGCACAATTAAACTATAAATCAATAAAAGATATTTAATGCACTTATTATACCATTTGAGCTATAATAAGAAATATCTGTTGCACTTACTATATAACTGAAATAATATTCATACCTTGTTTACTTATTGATACATATTTATATTTTTTGTTTATTTGTACCATGGATGTTATGTAAGATTAATGTATAACATTTGACAAAATTTAATATATATTATTCAAGAGTACTTAAAATAATTTAGATATTTTTAAACGTGTTAAATAAGTTGTATTAAAATACTTTACTATAGACAAATTCATGTAAGTTCACATAATCTAAATATATATATTCAAGGGTATGGATTTACCAATTTACTTACAAGAGTACTTGGGAAAGTTTATTTTAAATTATTTTTGTTAGTAATATTCTTTAAATTAATTTAAGTAAACATTAAAAAATATGTTTCTGATACTTTCTAATAACACATTAGTTACTTGTCAATAAAATATAAAAGATAAAATAACTAATATACATTTCTTTTACAAGTTTTAATTTTGTGTCACAAATTACATTTTAAGTTTGAATTTTTTGTTGCAAATTACAGATGGATTTTCACATATAATAGTTATTTAATCAGGTAACTGAAAAAAATATAAATAAAAATTTTACTATTAATTCATTAATAAAAGAGATGCCAAAAAATTAATATCATATATTTTAAAAATTTATTAGGCTATAAATAAGTAGAATGAATGTTTATTTTCACTTAATTTACTGCAAAATTTTATTGATGTTTAAAATTGTAATTTTCGTGAAGATGATATTTGTATACATATATAGATTATTTAATTTATAGACTGTTAAAATTAAATTAACGAATAAATAATTATTAAATATTACTTCTAAGACATTAGACACTACTAAAAAAATAATCTAGAATGAGTTTTTTTTAATTCCTATTACTTCAAAGTGTTTGGACGAATATATAAAATTTATAATATTATACTAATTTTCAGGAGTTGTAGATGGATTAACACCATTGTAATAATACTCACATTTTTTTTTATAAATAGGATCATGTCTTTTGTTTTGCTTTATTTAATTAAAATAATATAGTTTTAATTATCTTTTAATTTAGATAATAATTATTTTATATATTTAACTTAAATAATATATCTTCTAATCATCATTTAGTGTAACTAATATTTAAAACCACTACCAATATTTTTGATGTAATGGTGATAAAAATTTTAGAAAAAATAAATACTAATCATTTAACAATTGTAACATCCGACTTTTCAACGACAAATTGAAATTTATCACGCCCCTAGATAAAGATTTTCCAACATAATTTTTTTTTAGTATAAAAATTCTTCAATTGTACGACTTATCACAAAATAATGAGTAAATCATGTTCACATTTTTTAATATTTAATATTTAATTAATTAATATTGACACTATACATATTTTATAAAATTATTTTTAATATTTCTTTCCACGTTATAACCACATTGAAATTATTTTTAATATTTCTTTCTCGCATCATATTCGTAGTAAAATTATTTTTAACATTGTTATCTCATGCACCACACCAGTGCGGATTAGTATACTTAAATGATAATATTTAAACATTATCGCTTAATATAATAGCCACATAGACAATAAGCATACTAATTAAGATATGTGACGTAATCAATGAACCCCAAGTAATATAGTTGCATGTTGTTTTTAATTGCAATCACAAATCACAATTTTTTTGTATTAGATTGTCTAATCGCTATGCAGGTCGACCATCCTTTTATTTTATGTTTAATAAAATTTCATAATCCTATGAAGTGTTTGTCATACTTTGTTCATTTTGTTTTCTAGTATACATTTTAGCTTGAAAATATACATGGTTATTAATTAACCAATTATAAATATCTAACCTTTAGTTTGCATAACAATCATACTAAATTATAATACATAGACACACAATTGGTAGGACTAAAACAGCATAATTGAAGTTAATAAGAGCCTATTGGTCCACCAGCACTAAGTGGGGGCTACGGCTGAGCTACTTTTTTGTTCCTCTTTCACAAATTTGAGGTTGTGATAGTCTATATGCCAAGATAGAGTTAGGAGCTATGAGTTACTGCAGTTACGAGTTCAACTACTACCTTTAAGGGATTCCTTGCTATGGTTTAGCACGTCCTCTTCGCTGCTACGCTAGGTGGTTCGAGTTTGACCACCATTTTTGGATCTAGGTGTTTGATTTGTAGCTCTGTTGGAATTCAGTGTTGCAGGGTGTGGCTCGTGTGCCGGTTTTGGTAGTCGTGTGGTTAGCCTGCTAGGTTTAAGGATGTCTTATTTTATTTGTTTATTAGGTGTGCGTCGGTTTTGTCGTCTTTCTTTTGTTTTTCGTTTTGTTAGTTTAGTTGTGTCTTGTTTTTAGTCTCCTAACTATATGGAGTATGTGTCTCCTTTATGGAGTTTTGAATTTGGAGGGTATTTGTGTCATGTTGGAGTTTTTACCCCCCTTGGTCTATTTCAAGGAAGGTCGGTCCAGACTTTGTTCTCGTTGGAGTGGTGTCTATTTACACATTGGTTGTACTCTTTTAAGTTTTCAGTTGTTAATATAATTATCGTTGGACAAAACAACAAGTCTAATTCTTATTCATTAATTTATATTTGAGATGGATTAGCTGATAGAAGGGTCGACACATAAATATCTTTTGAACAATATTGTTTAGTTACACACTTATACTGTAAAATTTCATATTTTTATTAATATATTTTTTAAAGTATGACATTTAAATATGAAAAATATGTGTATCTGTTAAAAAGTACATTTGTGTAATCGTTATATTTGTCGAATATCAACCTTACTTATTCCTACATGATGATGATGAAGTCATTCATTACTATGTTGTGAAAATGAACCTAGAGGTGGCCAAATGACGTTTCGGGAACTGTCAGCTCAGATTCACATTTTATGTGAACCAAACTGGCCTGGGTATATATATGAATCGGTTCTAAACCGTGAACCTACATTTTAGAACTGGCCCTCTGGTTTCAAGATTGAGTCGGGAAACTACTCGGTTGATATTATTTGATGTTATTCAATTATATTGAGTTATATATTCTAGGTTAAGATTGAATTTGAGCATGAATACATTTATATCCCCTCAGGCTCACCCCCTTCTTGACCTCAAGGAAACTACTCCCTCTCTCTCTCTCTCTATCTAACTTACACACACAAACACAACCAAACAATGAGGTGGTAAAGTAGGAAGATTCCCCAACAAGTTGTAAATCAAAACACAAATAAAGGACACAACATAATAGGTTGATGATGTGATACAATTCGTAGGCCACTCTGAAAAAAAACACCACTTTATCTAGTTAAGGTTACAAACTGTAACACGACACATTTACACACCTTCCATTTATCAACAAAAATTTCAAACACAAAAGCTGACATCAATTAATTGTTGGTGGGGGGGCCTCTGCAACCCTCACATGCAATGGTGTTACATAATTA